GTCGGTTTGGACTCACTTCCTAAGTCTCATGGGACAGAGACTTAATGGAAAAGTCAGGCCTTTCTAGGTACTTACAGGAGAAAAACATGGCTGCCTAGAAGGTTCACACACCAGCAGCAAAAGGGAGAAGACAATGAAATAAGACACCTTGAGAGTTTTTGAAGGCATCGTTTTCTGCACTGGTATACCAGCCAGAACCAGCAGCAATAACTAGTTATCCTGTCCTGAGTGGGCCTCCGTCAGAAGCAGACATCTCTCTGTCTCACTTCAGATCACCGTCAGCATTTTCAAAGGAAAAGAAAAGAGGAATCTCACGCCCGGTGAATTGTATCAGATGAGTGAGCTTCAGTGGGTAATGGCGAATCCACACATAGAAAATCATATTCAGAAATGCCTGACTCCAGGACTTAGATTCCACAGCACACATGGAAGGAACTGAGGAGACAGCCAAACTTACCGGGCTCCACCCACACAGTGTAACACGGTGTCCTGAGGTCCTTTGGAAAGTGAGAAACTGTGGTGGGTAAACCTACCCAAAGTTAAACACAAACACTCTGAGCATGGATTAGATGCTTTGTGAGAGTTTCAGATATCTGAAGACTTAACCAATCCCATTATGCTCTGTAGAAAAACCATGCACTATCACCGATGGTCATCTAGAATGCTTTGGAAGATTCTTAATTCTGAGAGGCTAAATCTTCCAAATAGTAAAGTGTTTACCCCTTTATGGTGAAATTTTATTTATTGCAATGATATTGGATAAAGTTTTTCTCAATGATACACATATATAGCTACTTAAAAATGAACTTAATTTTACTTACCAACTACAAACCATGTATAATAAAATAAACACTAGAAAAAATGGGTGCATGCAAAAACTGGTCTAACCCAAATAATATCTCCAGTCTACATAGTGACACTGTACCAATACTTATTTCCTTAGTTTAATCATGAAGTCTACTTATATAACATGATATCACTGGGGAAAACTGGGAGAAGGGTTTATGGAAATTATTGTGGGAGAGTTTTGTGAATCTATAATTGTTCAAAATAGAAAAAATATTCTAAGTGCCCAGCATGGTGGCAAAAACCTACCTGCAATACCAGCTAGTTAGGAGGCTGAGGCAGGAAGTTTGCAAGTTTGAGGTCATTCTGGGAAATTTAGCAAGACTGTTTCAATTTAAAAAAAAAAAAAATTTAAATGATCTGGATGTAGGTCACTGCAAATCTCTAGGTTCAAACTCAGTACTGCAAATGGAAAAAAGTAAAATATTTTGAGGCCAGAAACTATCTCAGTTTTCAAGGGAAGGAAGGGAGGAAAGGAGGGAGGGAGGGGGGAGGGAGAGAGGGAAGGAAGAAGAGAGATAAGGAGGGAAAGCCCATAGATCTATAAAGCTTTATGGAGAGAGTATATAGCAGCAAGTGAAGACTTTAAATCCAGGCAGACTCTTAGGTCAAATCCTCTTCCTAGCTTTGGGAGATATTTCTTAAAAGCTACAGCCTTTTTTGTCTACCTTTTAGTATTAGGGATTAAAAGTACTGCGGCGGGCCGGGAGTGGTGGCGCACGCCTGTAATCCCAGCACTCGGGAGGCTGAGGCAGGCGGATTATTGCGAGTTCGAGATCAGCCTGGGCTACAAAGTGAGCTCAAGGCCAGCCTGAACTACATAGCGAGACCCTGTCTCAAAAAGATAAAAAAAAAAAAAAAAGTACTGCAGCGAACTGCTGTGAGAATTAAACTGAGTAATAGACCCAATACCCCTAGTAGAATACAATCACCCAGTAGATAGTCAATAAGTTGCTCTGTTCTCAATGTCTTTAAATAGAGTATAGTTATAATTTGTGTCTTATTTTTGAAGTTCTGGTTACTAATCATAAATATTCAGCTCCCACACTCAAATTCTGTCAGTGTGCTTCCCTGATGAATGTATGCCCTCATCTGCTATGAGGTTGATATAGTTCTATACCTGACATCAATTAGACTCCAAAGAAGAATCACATTTTGAATAAAGTATTTGTGTTTTAGCCTAGAGACACTAATTTCAATTGCGTGAAGTCCTTTTTCCTTTTGACTTACTTTCTAATTTTAAGCTAAATCCCAGATGGCTGAGGTTCTTAGCTGAATTCTGCTTATATGAGGCAATGATATTAATAAAAAGTAGCCATCATCTATTGCTCATTATAAGGCTAACTATGCTAAGTACTTTACATATATTATCACATTCAACATTCACCATATGGGGTAACTATTTTAATCTCCTCACTGGAGATGAAGAAATGTCTCTGCGTGCTGAAAGTCCCAGAGCTAATAATCTGTGGAGCTGACAGGAGCCAGATTCCAATTCTCAGCTTCTATCACAGGGAATACTGTGACAGTTTCCTATTTCTTCAGTGCAATCAAAAGTACTTTCAAAGAGCTCCAGGATTTGGAAGAAGAGCTTGGTACTTTTGTTGAAGGAGGTACAGAGAGTGAGAATGGAGGAAAAGAAAGTAGTCGAAGAAGATCAGAATATCCCTCCCAAATATATTTCTTTGGCGGAGTTCCAGTTGGTTGTTCACAGAAACTGCAGACCTCCGCGGGTGTAGGAAAACCTGTGAAGAGCTATCTTCTTGCAAAAGAAATTTAAAGCTATGTATATTAGTAAACAGCAGATAAAAGCACGGGCTTCTTTATCAGATGCTCTCCTTTCTGCCTAGAAAAGATCTTTCCACAGGAAGAAGAGATTAGAGGTCTGACACCTGGCCCAGGGATGACATAGGTGGCTGTTACCAGGAGACTGAATCAGCATAACAAGACAACCCCAGCTCACGTCACATCCTCCCCGCAAACTGCCTTGGCCTGCACTGCCTGCCTTCCCCAGAAGCTGACCCGCTCTCCCTGTGTTACACTTTAAATAGGGTTCAGCTGGTTGCCTCTTTTGTGTCTCATACATTGCACGTGGGTTCCATGCTTATGCACACTAATAATTTGTATGCTTTCTAAAAACTTGCTGTATATTGCAGGCCATTTCATAGACTACAATTAAGGCCTCTTCAAGGAAAAAGAATAAGTTTAAAACATCTCTATATGTCAAATATCCAGTCTTTTTAAAAACTCCAGAAGACAACACTCTTGGGAATAGCAATAACTTATACTGGTAAATCCTGAATAAATACTTGTGGACTGGTTCAGAAAAAAGTTTCCTCAAACTGTCCAGGAAGAGAAAAATTTTTCTCCCCTCTATATCCTGAGACCCACCCGTTCCCTTCTATGATACTGCGTACCCTCATGCACAACCCAACCAATCAGGAAATATCTCTCAGAACAGAAAATACTCAGATTTGGGTTGCACAATTTCCTTTTCCAGCAATCTCTTAGACTTGTCAACTTTGCATTTTGAAGAATTCCTGCCTTTGGTGACCTGCCATCTGAGTAATACTATTGATCTGGTCAGTCTGAACGTGTTTGTGGCTCACATGCATAAACCTGCAATGGAAAATCTAATCCAGTAGTGGTGAACCTATGGTACACATGCCGCCGCGGGCTGCTCGTGTCACTGAAACCTGCACGGTTCGCCCTAGCTGCTTCTAGTCTAAGAGACTAGATTGTGCCTGCTCTATAAGAGTTCGGAGGTGAAAAACCAGCAAGGTTGTAGACACAGCCAGCTGTGAATTCAGAGAAATCTTTAAGCAGAAAAGGCTGCAGGGCCTTGGCATGTATTTTGCAAGGGGTTGTGGTGTGATGGATGTTTGCAACAACTGTAAACAGGAACTGCTGTGTCCTTATTAGGAGTAATCACTTCTCCAGGCAGAGGAAGAGCTGTTAAGGCCTTTAAACATATTCTGTGCTTGAGAATTTTTTTTTCTCTCCTGGCCCAACCTACCCTCCCTGTTCGTCCTATAGGAACTCATTATGGCTGTATTCTATGCTTGTTCTTTAAGATTGCTTGTTGGCAGGGCCTAAGAAAAGAAAAGGCCAAGGATTCCATCTGGCTGGTTCCACCTCGATCGCAGCTGCTTACAAGAGCTGTTTATTCCACAACACTGAGCCTAGTGTAGCCCTTCTCCCGCCAGGGTGGCCTTCAGAGTTGTCCAACAGGCCTGGCAAACTTTTACCAAAGCCAGAACACTGGGCAGGAATTCAGGGAGTGGGGATGGGTGTTCAGCAGCCTGCATTTGGAGAGACAGGCACTCCACAGAAAGGGAGACCAGGGAAAGAGCAGCCTGAGTCTCAGCTGTCCTTCCAGGAAGGGTACAGGGACACTCCAGTCTCTGCCTGAGGCCACTGCCCAGGGACCACTTTGATCCAGTATCCCCTGTACAAATATGATGAAAATTATAAGCTGTGGCTCAGACAAAGTGAGTGAAAATTTTTGCTCTGCTTCTCCCTATTTATAAGCGTCTTACTAGGGATTAAAGTAAGATTTGCCAGGTACAGTCATGCTCATTGAATGACAGGGACACATTCTGGGAAATGCACTGTTAAGTGATTCCATCATTGTGTGGATATCATGAAGTACACGTCCATGAGCCTAGAGCAGTGGTGGCAAACGTACGGCGTGCGTGCGGCAGAGCCCTCTGTGGGCACGTGAGCCAAGTGTATGAGCTGTTTTATCTACACTAAAACCTCAGTATTCAGGCTTAATTGCAGCATTGGCACTTTACAATAAGTAAGTGTATTTTTGGGCTTGGTGGCCCATGTCTATAATCCCAGCACTCAGGAGGCCGAGGCAGGAGGATAGTTGCCAATTAGAGACCAACCTGGGCTGGCTACAAAGTGAGCTCAAGACCAGCCTGAACTGCATAGTGAGAACTTGCCTCAAAAAGACTAAATAAATAAATAAATAAATAAGTGGATTTGGGGTTACAGTTTGGGCACTCAGTCTTAAAAACTTCACCATCACTGGCCTAGACGGTATGGCTTCTAATACACACAAGAGAGGTAGTATATATATATTTATGGCACAACTTACTGCTCTTAGGCCTACCACAAACCAAACAACATGAGATTAAATCAAGCAACAAGAGAAGACGACGTCCTCAGGAGACATGGCTAACACGGGATGCATGGATGCATGAGGTTGCCAGCGTAACATGGGTACTGTTTTACAGTCAAGGGTTCTTTTTGGTAAGTAGAAAGAGTACATTCTGAAATAACAATATACATAGCATAGAAAACACAGAAACCAGTAACTGTCATTTATCCTCAAGTATTAGGCACTGAACAGAATTGTAGGTGCTACATTTTTATACAATGGGCAATGCAGGAGGATTGTTCATACCAGCATCTTCACTAGCACCTGAGCAATGGTCTGACAACTATAGCATCACTAGGTAATAGGATTTTTTTCAATTCTAATACAATTTTGTAGAACCATTGTCATAGATGCCATCCATTGTTGATCAAAGCATCATTATGCAGCACATGACTACACAAAATATTCTAGAAGGCTCACATAGGCCAAACCAACTTGGAGGAGGTAAAGGTTATTTATACAAATTTGGGATTAAGGAGACTGAGAAAATTTAAAAATTGTGAATGTAAAGTCAGTTGTTTGCATTTGGGAATCAAGAACTAATGAAATATTCAAGTGAAGATATAGGCTGTTAGAAAAACAAATGGAGTCTACAGAAAGATTAGAGCTAGACTTTTAGCATTAGTGATCTATGAATGTCTTCTTTTATTTTCTTTTTAATAATATAGTTAATGCTGTGAATCAGAGGTTCAACACAAGCCAATCTAGGATACGTAGTGTGTGCAAGGCCAGCATAGACTATGTAGCAAGATCCTGTGTCAAGAATAGAAAGAAAGGGGCTGGGGATTTAGCTCAGCGGCAAAGCGCCTGCCTGGCAAGCGCAAGGTAATGAGTTCGGTTCCCGGTACCGGAGAAAAACAAACAAAAAAAAAAGAATAGAAAGAAAAAAACTAATCATTACCAATAACCCACAAAAAAAAAAAAAAAAAAAAGAATAGAAAGAAAAAAACTAATCATTACCAATAACCCACATCTACCCAGCTGCCCACCCGTGTCCCAGCTCCCACTTCCAGAAGAAATATGATCCTGGTTCCATGTTTCTAGTTCTTTGTTTTAGTCCCTGTTTGATTACATATATACTTTGTCCAAAAATAAATTGCTTTATTTTGTTTGTTTCTGAACTTCGCAAAGAAGTTATTCTATAATGTTGGGTGAAACCTGCTTTTGTCCCTCCACTTTATATCACAGAGAGTAAAGCATGTACTGTATAGCTGAACATTATTAATTTTCAGTTCTATATAATGTTCTTTTGCATGGCTATCTACATTATTTGACTCTCATTATTGACTATACACATTGTGTTCAGGGCTTTGCTATTCTTAACCATGAGGAAAGAACATTTTTTCATGTCTCTGATTACAGGTGTGGAAGAGTTACCCCTGGGCATACACCTGGAATACAGTGTGGAAAAGGTCATCTCTTCAAGCTACAGCCACACTGAGTTGTGCCAATGAAAAAAGACCTGAGAGGTGACAGAAGGCCACAGATGTGGTAGTTTGCTCATGAAGACTCAACAGGGAAAGAAGGGGACCGAGATCACATTCTTCTGCATCTGAGGGTGAATAAGAGGAGGAGAAGCGCAAGGAAGAAACAGAAATTGGTAGTCGGAAGGGAAGAACAGCCCAAAGGAATTACAGCCAGACACACCAAAGAAGGAGACACTGCACAGACTGGGGTGACCAGTTCCGTGGGCTGCAGAGAAAGGCAAGTCAAGAAAAGGTCCGTGACCCTTCAAAGCTATTTGTGACCTGTTGTAAATGAGAGTGAAAGCCAGATTTCAAGGGATCGAGGGTAAGTGTGGGAGTGGGGAATGGAGAGAAATCTGGTAACCTTAAACACCATTTGGAACTGTGAAAGAAGAATAGAGATGGAAAGCCAAAGAACATACCAGAGCTGAGACGTGATTTTTAATCTGTTGTTTTAAAGGTGAGGAAGATTTGACATGTTCATATATTCAGAGGTAGAAGTCAATGCAAAGGAAGAGATGGAAGAGGGAACAGAGGTTCACTGTAGAGAAAGGTCTTTTCAGGAGCTGGAGAAGATAGAATACGAAGCACAAGTTTATTGTAAACAAGGAGAAAGCACTCTTTCTCAGAAACAGAGAAGACAAAAAGGCTTCACGATGCATGCAAATTATCATCAGGATCATGTTAACTAACATTTATTTAACGCTCCACGTAAAGGACTCTAAATTAACCATTTAATACGTATTACTTCATTTAATTATCCGAACAGCCTATGGCATGAGTAATTTTATGTGTTGTAATTTCCATTTTGCAAGAGAATAAACTAAAGCTCAGAGATACAATTAGACCCAGCTAGCTGTTTTAGGGCATGTGCTCTTAATCACTGCATGTAAGCTAAGAATGAGGAAAGATGAAGAAGTTCGTGCTAGACGGCAAAAGCTTAGAGCTGAAGGAAATTATAAATGTAGGAAGAGTGCAGAAGGCACGGACTAGACACTCTTGGCAATGGGACAAGAAATCAGGGGAAGAAAGGAAGTGAACATACGGGGCTCCAACTGTGTCCCAGACGAAGTGGTAGGCCTTTTATACACAGACTTAGTTCAACAGAGAGGAGCAGGAAGATAATTAAGAGGTAGTGAGGGCTCAGTAGCTGCTGGAAAGAATTCAAGAGTAATAGAACCCACAATTCTAGTCTAGGCTTTCTCTAGACTGCAGTTTTCTCTCAGACCATTAGGAGGACTCTGGAGAAGAGAGTGCAGCTGGGCATGGGTTGGATATATACAGAGTGGGAGCCAAGAGGCACGGACATGAAGGCAGCCAGAGAAAATCCCCTACTGGTTGACCTCAAAGCCATGTCAGGGAGAGGGTGACTAATGTCGTGAGAGCACATGGACTAAGTGGAGAGTGGAGATTTAGGGACTGAACCTCACAAGGAGGTACAGAGTGAGTTCAGCATGGGTATGAGTGGACAGAGGGGGGAAGATGAGAACGTTAAGCCACCGTGGACTTAGCAATCTGAGTTCCTAGAGTTTGAGCAGCTGAACACAGTAATTTGTGGTGCGGTTGCCAGGGTGGGTGAGGAAAGAAAGGGGCTGAGAAAACAGAAGCCTGGGCTACACATAACACTCTGAGTTATTTTATAATGTTCCTACTTACACGGTGGAGTAGGTGTTCCCAGAGACACGACGAAGAGGACCACTGAGACTCCCCCAGTTGGCAAGCAGCCACAATGGGGCGGGAATTAATTGAATCTTTTGTCTCCGAGCTCCCCCTCCCTCTTCTTGGCCTGCAATTCCCATTCGCCAATCAGTGACTGCAACACCCACTCATTATTCAAGAATCAGTTCAAATACAGTCTCCAAAGTTTCTCACCTCTCTCAAGACTGGTTTGGACGCCTCCCTTCTGGGATTCTACAATTCTTCATATCAGCTTATGTCCCAATGGCCCATCTGTTTGTCTCTTGACAGACCAAAGGAAAGAGACTGTATCACTTCCTCCTCATGCCTGGCACCATTACTGAGCCAGAATAGGTTCAGTAAAAATGTATGGAACTAATTAATATGCTTGAAAACAATAGATTGGGCCCAAAAACATACCAAACCATGAGTTTCTGCTTGTGATTTTTGGACTTACAGTTTCCATGAAATTTGGCTTGAGAAAAATATGGTGGCTATTTGTAAAAAAAAAAAAAAAAAAAAAAGATAGTGTGGCAAGGGTTAGTTGAAAAGTAGCCAGTGTGAACTTCAGGAGTGGTCCTGGGAAGAGGTAAGTTTATCTGGCTAGGAATTTGTTCTGAAAAAATATTAAGAGGTACAAAACAGTATATAGTAAATACAGGGCATGTTTGCCAAAATGCTCAAGCTGTTAAGAAAAGCCCTCATTTTCCTGAGAGGTTACTAGACAAAACCCTACTCGTCCTCCAAAGGAACCCATCCATCACTTGCTCTATCCCCAACCCCACAAGAAAACAGGAGTCTTGCAATCTCCTGTCTCTTCTTTACCGCTGATCCCAGCCTTTCTTCCTTCCCCATTCCTCACGCCAACCTTCCCTCTCAACCCCAGTTCCCTCGTACACATCTCCCCCTTACACACACACACACTCACACACACTCACACGCCATTCCATCCCCAGATGAGCATCTGCATTTGCTCTCTCTCTGGCTGCTTCTCCCCCTTGGTTTCCCAGAATAGGAGAAGAGAAAGCCTGTTTTCAGTTAAGACTTTGGTCACACACAGATGCCTTTTCCATTACTTTTGTTTTTCTCCTTGAAGTGTAACATTTCCAATTAACTCACCATGGGGGAGGTGGCCTTATATTAATCACCCCATGGAGGGAGCTGTGTGTGACGAGGGGAAGGAGACAGGGTCTGTGCAGGCCTGCCCCGGACAGGCTGCAACTGATCTCTGAGCAGGCTGCAACAGGAGCTTCCTTCCCTCTCTTTGCTCTGGAGGTGACCCTATGATCACAGTTTGTGAGCACGTCACTCACGGATTTGCTCATATCCGTGGGTAAGATCTGTGAAGTGAACACTCTTCTGATTCGCTTTTATTGATTGTCTCATTCTAACAGCCTAAAGACACTAAGTAAACTTTGTCTATGATAGATATGAAATTTATCTCACTTAATCTTAGAGCGCTAGGAGTTAGAAAGCAAAGACTGAACAGAACTCATGCAAATCAAGACGAGACCATAATGTTAATTGAAGTAAATCAGACACACAAGCTTAACTATCACATGGTTTTCTTCTATGATCAACCCAAGTATGAAGTGCAAAATAAAAGACAAACAATAGGAAAAAAAGAGAAATCAATGGATTTGTAACTCATGGATCTCCATTCCTGTGCATACCTCTGTAGAATATAATTTTCGCCACAAATTATAACAGAGTTTAAGTGAAAACATTAGCCCCTAATGATACAGGAAAAGAAAAACTCCCAACCTGAATGATATCTGGGATGAGTTCGTGTTCTCTAAAATCGAAGAATTTTAGGGAAATTGAAAACAGAAGCCTGGGCTACACATAACACTCTGAGTTATTTTATAATGTTCCTACTTACACAGTAGGAATTGAGAAACAGCAGAAACCATGACCTTACACAGAGCTTCTGCCCATGAGATATAAGAAAATGCTTAATAGTTCCTCCATATTTTAGGAACAATGGAGGTTAAGAGCAGAATATATTTATTGCGAGAAAGAAAGCTTCTGTCCAAAAGAGGAGCAGAAGGGAGGCCTGAGTGGGTTACCCCAAGACTCTGTCTTTTCTAGGGACTTTTATAGAGCAAAACGATGAGGTGAGGCGGGTCCAAGGTAGGGGAAAATGGACAAAAGTATGGTCAGCCAATAAGAATTGGTCAGGTAAAGTTGATTAAATTAGCATCAAATGGGGAAGGCAGTCACGTAGCAAGTGGGCACGAATACAGAACAGGGGATTTTCCTGTAAAGGGCTGGGTCAGGGACTCATCAGTCCCTGATGTCCATCCCTTGTGGGGTAAGAGGGTGTGTTTGTCTAGTCCTTTGTGTTGAGGTCTGGCCCACAGGTATCTTATCTTGTCTTTCATGTTGGCTCCTTCGAGGGCCTGGCCCTGTCTGACTGCCTATAATATTTCTAACTCAACTGCCTGTAGCAGTAGGAAGGCAGGTACCCCTGGAGGCAAACTTCTGCATTAACACACCTGCAGAATTGTTCTTCCTTTTTGTTTCTGCTAAGACTCTTTGGAAGAACTTGCAGAAACCCAGACAAGGTCACCAAGCCATTGTGGCTCACCGGTTAGGTGACATAGACTAAGCTTGGCTCCTTGCAATATTGAACTGAGCATTCTCTGAAGTGTGCAGGACCATCTTTATGACCCTGAGCTAGGCATGCCCAGAAGCCTTCTGTTTGCTTTTTTGAACATTTGCTCTATGACTCTGAGCTCAGCATGCTCACAAATGTGCTTGCCATCTTTTCTTCTTGAATTATGACCTTAAACTGAGCACACTCAGAAATGTACACCTTAAGCTGACCATGGCCAAAATATGCCCATTAATAAAGTGCTTCCCATGTAAATAGTATAGGTACCTGGAATGAAATCACCATGCTTCCTGATGGAAGCGCCATTTTGGAAATAATTCCAATGCCCTCCTCACCTGCCATATGTAATAAGTCTTTCTCTCTTCTTTTGTCTTCTGGTTGTGCTTTTTGGCTTTGCACTCAGCAAGATGTGAACCCATTTCATTTGGTTGCAAAAATATGAATGAGTCCCTTCTGTGCCCTTACACAGAGCTTCTGCCCATGAGATATAAGAAAATGCCCAAAGCTCCTCGGCGCTGGACAACTGATTCAGCTCAGCCTTTAGTTCACACACAGCCTCTCAAATAGGTAACTCTTTGATCACGAAGAAAATGAAAGCTATTTCGTGAATCCTGAAGGTTGGTTGAAAATTATTAAACCTGCAAGTGCTTAACTTGTGAATGTCAAATGTTGCTCTGATACAAGTCCTTGGTGTGATTTTTTTTTCATAAACTACAGTAAGCCAAGCTTTATGCATGGGATTTCACAACTGCTGTGAAGTTTGCCGGGGTTGAGCACCCTCATCCTGCAGAAGGGTTGGACTCCATCTCTTCACCTATTTGGAGAAGTACTTCAAGACTTGCTGACGCTGGGTTTCAGAACTGGAGGTTCCTCTGACTGATGCTGGGTAGAACAAGGACTGAAGCAGCTCTCATTCAGCAGCGGGAAGAAGAAAGGCCAAGGTAAATAGGCTCAGGGAACAGCAGGGGGAACCGCAGGGGGCCGAGAGGTATTTCCTTTGAGAGAAGGAACTGGAGATTCCTGTCAGATGTGAGAGCCGGGGGACTTTAACAAGTGGAGGGCTCCTACTTGTGAAATAATCTTATGCAAAGCAGTCTTGATTACACCTTGAAGCTCTGGGGCCCCGCTCCCCCAGGCACCTGGGTGCAATTACCCTCGGTTCCATCTATGTGGAAGAAAAGCTGCATCTGGATCTGATTCCCAGCCTGACTTCACTCTCTCCAGATGCTCATCCACTTTCTGAAGGAAACTTAAAAGAACCAGGTGGAAGCGGGGCGCTCTGGAAACAATACATCGCTGCTTCAGGCGTCTGCTTAAAGCTTTATGATCAGCAACTTGCTTATTCTCCCACACAGTTTGTCCTAGTAATGATATTTACACACTGAGATGCTCATTCTAAGAGTGAATCAGGTGATTTTCAATCCTTAGTACGGGTTGGGGATGCAGCTCAATGATAGAGGGCATAGTTAGCATGAAAACTACTAGCACCAAAAAATAAAAAATTAAATACAAATAAAATGCATAGGAAATGGATTCAATAGTGATTCAATAATATAATCAGCAATAGTCAGTTAGCAATATTCCTTGCATTCAGATCATAAAAATGAGCACTCTGGAGGAAAAAATATAAAAGAAGATATGGTTCCAGACTTCTAGGAGCAAACCTTCTATTAGTGATTGAATGTTTTTGCCCTCTTCAAAACGCATGTTAAAATTTAAAGGCCAAGCCTGTAACTCCAGCACTTGGGAGGCTGAAGCAGGAGAATCACGAGTTCAAGCCCAGCCCAGCCTCCTTAGCAAGTCTGAGGACAGCTTGAGCTATGTAGAGAGACTGTGTTTAATAATAATAATAATAATAATAATTAATAATAATGTGTGTAACTCTGGTGGGAGGTGGGGCCTAATGGAGATATTTGGGTTATTATTTTCCTTTTCTTTCTTTTTTTTTGTTTTTTTTTCCAGTACCGGGAATCAAACTCATGACTTTGCACTTGCCAGGCAGGTGCTGTGCCGCTAAGCTAAATCCCCAGCCCCCCTTTCCTTTTTTTTCTACCTACCTTTTCTTTTCCCCAGTACCAGGAATTGAACTCACGACCTCGCGCTTGCCAGGCAGGCTCTGCCCTTGTGAATAGTTTAATGTAACACCACTATTTTTTAAAAAGTCTTGCAGGGCTGGTTTTGCTCTCCTGCTTTTCTGCCACATGAGCAGCTTCCCTTCCTCATCTACAAGACGCAGTGCTCAGGGCTCCACATTGGAAGCACAGAGAGCAGCACTTACTGGACAACAAACCCTGGTACCTTGGTCTTGGACTTCTCAACCTTCAGAAGCAAGAGAAATAAATTTCTGCTTTTCATAAATTACCAGTTTCAGGTATTCTGTTGTAATAACTACAATGAATTAAGACAGCTTCCAAATGCAGAGGTAGAACCTACCCAAGGATAATTAGGTGCTTCCCAACTGAAATAGTGATGCAAGAGATCTGGATCTACAGCTTTATATGTAAATGCATAAAAATACATATACGTACACATATATAGTTTTGCAAGATTCTTAACATTTTTCAAAAACAATTCTAAGGAGTGAGCTACTATTTGGTGGATAAACATTTTCAAAGCAAATTGCTCTTCACAAAGTTGGGTTATATCACTTTATCAGCCGAATAAGAACTCTATTCTAGAAGGAGAGATAATTTGAGCAGGATTTTAAATAGAAAATATTACATAGAAATCATTAATGTGGGAAATAATTACTTTGAAATTATTGAAGAATAGAATGTTAGGAATAGAAGTTGCTTCAAAATATGCAGATCAAGATATATAGACATATGTGTGTCTGTGTGCAAGAATCAGTATAAAAGTATTGTCTGAAATTGATACACAACTTTAAAAAAATTGTTTATTTGGGAAAAAAATTACTTAACACTGTACCCCATACCTTACATACACTGAGATATATTCTAGGTGGATTAAAAAGGTGATTGTTGAAAAAAAGAAACAACTTTTAAAATCTCTAGCAAGGGGCTGTGGATTTAGCTCAGTGGCAAAGTGCCTGCCTGGCAAGCGCAAAGTCATGAGTTCAATTCCTGGTACCAGAGGAAAAAAAAAATCTCTAGGAAAATATACCTGTTTATGTATACTGTAAATAAGAGAAACATAAAAGCCAAGAAAATAGAAAAAGATTAATGGATCAAATTGCATACACATTCACATTTTTCTATTTCAAAAGTCCTATAGACATAAGCTTGATTCTTGGAGAATAAAATAGGTATTGTAGAAGGTTTTTCGCAGTATTAACTGCTAACATGTACTGAGTACTTATCAGGCACTCTGCTAAGTATTCAATTTTCTTTTTTGTGCTTATTCCCCACAGAATCTTATGATTTCATTACTGATGATTAGTTCATTCTATTCTATTATTATATGACTATTGTTCTATGCTATTATTAGAAAAGAAAATTTGCACATTCTTAGTTTTTGTAGTTCTAGAATCAGGAAGCTGTCCAGATCAAAAATGGTTCAGGGTGACCCTTTCCACCACCTATGTACATTATTTTTATAGCCGGAGGAAAGAAAGTGACACACAGAAAGCAGAAATGAAATACAGAGATGGTGGGGTTCGATCTTGGTGTGTGCTTCCTTTGAACATTAAATGGTTAGCTGTCTTTGATGGACTGAAGCCCAGCTGCTGTGGGTGGCTGAGACTTAGCTACCTGTTACAAGAATAGGTTAGAGTCTATTTACATATCTGATTAGGTTAGAATTCACTATGTATAAAAAACCTTTAGGCCGAATTCAAGCTACTGTATGTATGGAGACAGCTTTAGGCCAAACTTAATTACTATCAAACCCTAGTCCAGAAGAGCCCAGGGTCATGCAGCTACAAATAGTACATGTGAGCTGCACAGCAGTGGTCTCTGTCAAGCGCCTGTCACTCACACAGAACACTCTACATAGTCTGTCTTAGTCCCTTTCCTGTCTCTAGGACACAATGCCCGACCTCCATAACTTCAATGGTTAATTTTGGTTCATGGTTTCAGCCTGTGGCCAGCTGGCTCCCAGGCAGAAATGCCATGATAGAAGGCAAGAGTGGAGGAGAGCTGGTCAACCCCGGGGCAGCCAGGGAGCAAAGAGCAAAGGGAGGAACCAGGGACAAGAACGCAGGTTTCCAAGTCACATCCCAACCGATCCATCTCCTACCAGGCTCCGCCTCCTAGCGGGACACTCAGCTACTGAATTCATCAATGCCTAAGTCCACCGAGGCGAACAGTGCCCCCATGACCCATACACACGGCTTGGCAATCATCTGCCCAGCTACAGCAGTGAAATAACATACCTTGCTCATGATCTCACACACTCTAAGGCCAAAGACAGTAATTTCATGGCCAGCGGTCCCCTATTTTCTTCTCTGTTGTCAACCAAAGTCAGCACAGGAGAAGGCACCATCAAAGCAGAAGATAGTTTTAAAGCTTCTATCAGAGACCCAGGGATTGTCTCTGTGCAGCTGAGACAGAAAATTGATACATTGTCAAGAAAGGTAACACTTGTAGGAAGAGTCCTTTTCAATCTGTAAGATAAACGAAGGAAGCCGCCAGCGTGTCCTCTGGGCTGGTCCCTGGGCAGGTTACGTGCACAGGGCTAGGTAGCACATGCTACACCTCCAGAGCACACAGGCTGCTGACTCCATCCAGCTTAGAGTCCTTCCGCAGATAGGTCCTAGTTCTCAGTCATAGGATTACTCCTCCATATATTTTTCTTATAAGGAGATAATCTAGGATGATTAAGGACTTAGAAAGAATAATTTCTCAGAAAAGATTTAAAAGACTCAATATGTAAAGGGTAGTTAAGCAATAATCAACACTGGCTCCTTCAGAGATAAGGCAATTCCCTTGGGCCATGGCGCTCTTTATGCTAGCCAAGGAGTCAAGGATCAGGAGATGGTCCTTTCCCATTCATACTCATCTCTACGGTCAGATGCATCTTCAACTTTTGCTTATGGAAAGAGCACAGATCTAGCTCTGGGTTCAAGTTCAGACTCTACCACTTACCATATGTGTCATCTTTAGCAAAACTCTTAATTTAAGGCTTAATCCTAAATCCTATTAAATGAGGACAATATTTTCTACCTCTTAGAAATATTTTGGTAATTAGTGATAAGGTATTCAACAATTGTTATTAACTCACGTGTAGAATTAACCTTTTCCCCTCTCCTACAACAGTATTTTTATTGACTTATCTTTCTGTCTCTTTCTTTCTTATAGCAAAAATGATCAAAGAAATAAATACACATGGCTTTTAAAAGACAGCCCTAAAGGGACAATAAACCAAGGAACAGTCATACTTTTTACCCTTTCCAAATCTATTCTTACTAGACTAAAGTAACTATTTTTAACACATCATCTGGTAGTTGTCCCATACTTCCAAAAATATGTTTTATATCACTTTTTTTGTGAAATATTCATGTGGTAAATTTAAACCTTCAAAAAATCAAAAAGGACCATCTGTCATTGTCTTGAAGGTCTCCAGGTTACAGACCTCGGACTCCTTGAGCTATGCTCTGAAATCCACCCCCTACACAGTGGCCATGATTCGAGTTTCTCAGGGATGCCCATGTATGCCCATTCTTGCAACATGAGGAACTCCTTCAAAGAGCAAGCTTGTCTCAAGAACAACCTAGTCTCTAGCAGTTTTATGGAAACTTTTTTAGACTGAACTTCATCTAACATTTTTTACCCAACCTTCCTTTCTGGAGGAAGGGAAATGCTGGAGTCACAGAATAAATTTGGAAACATTTCTTCCTTTTCAATTCTTTGGAATACTTTAGTTCAACCTCATTACTTGTTCTTGATCATTCAAGTTATTTATGACTTAACAGTTCGCTTTTTGTAAGTCATCTGTGACCAGAAATATGTCCATTTCTTCCAGGTTTTCTCATTTGTTAACA